CCATTACTTTTAGAACTTCTAGAACTATCTTCACTGCATCCCTCAGAAGTAGCAAGAGCACTTGGGGGTGCCCCTCCTCAGAGGTGAGGACCCTTTGCTTGAAGCTCCAAGTTTCTGGTAACCCCAATTTTTCCCTTTTTGTTTCCCTACCCCTAGCAATAGTAGGTACACCCTGCAGGCACTCTGGGTTACCCTTTTATGCTCCTATCACATCTTTGTCAAAATATCGTGTGTGGGCTCTCCTGATTGGACACACGCTGGTAGAGGTGCTCTCTAAAGAGCAGATGTAGTAAAGTGGTTAACGGCAGGATCAAGATAAGGAGACAAATGCTGAAGGCCAGTTTCCTCAGGTTAGCACTTTGGAGGGTGTTTGAATGTTCCAGGGGGGTTAATAGAGGAAGATGTCCATACTGAGCAAGGGCCTGAGGTAACTGTCCAATGGAGATTTCTGCAATAATAGAAATGTTCTAAAACGTGTTGTCCAATATGGAGGCCAATAGTCACATGTGGCTATTAAACATTTGAAATACGGTTAGTATGACTAACTCATTTTATTTGGTTTAAATTTAAATAGCCACATGTGGCTAGTGGCTGTCTTACTGGACCATGCAGGTCTAAGGTGATTGAAGGGCCAGATGACCTGCACCTTTATTAAATTGCCAGATATTTAACAGGTACTAGGTTACAAAAACAGGAGCTACTATCTCCCTCTAAAGGAATTCAGTACAGCAACAGAAGAGATATGCAACACTTCTTTGAAAAATTATTCTGCCAAGTATGTAAGACGGATTAAAGAGGCATGATCAAAGACAGAGAGGCCAATCAGGGAGAAGTCCAACTGTCCAAACTAAGAGATGAGAAACCTCACCAACAGCAGTAGTGAAGGGATGCGTGAGCAAAGGATTTCAAACTTGACCTCTGGACACTTGGTAATCAATGGGAAATAAAAGCAGAATTGAGAATAATTTCTCACTTCTGGATTATTGTATGATTCACAAAGAGAATAAAAGAGAACCAGGTTTGAGAAGTGGTGAACTCAGTTTTGGATGTGCAGAGCTTAAAGTGCCTGTGAAACATCCAAGTGTCTATGTGGAACAGACAACTGGACGTACATATGGGTCTAAAATGAACAACAGAGGTTTAGTTATAAATACCAACTTTTGAGTCACAAGCATGTGGGCATTACAGAAAGTCAAACTAGTAAACATGACCATCCAGGAAAGGTCAAGAGTTAGAAGGGTGCCAAATAAAGAACCTTGAGGACACTGATATTTAAGGAGTAGAAAGAAAAGAAAATGTGGAAGAATGCAGACAGGAATGAGAGCAGTCCAAAGAAGCCTGTCTCAGGAAGGCAGATTCTGAAAATCAGAAGGCAACAGTGAAGGTACAGAATGGCTGACAATTATTGGACACTTACTTTGTGACAGACATTTTCCAAGTTTTTTTTATATGTAGAAACCCATTTAATCTTTTAAAAGAATCACATAAGGTAGTCTTTAGTGTAAAGCTATTTTATAGATGAAGAGATCCAGAAGACTTAGAGTTCACTCAAGATCAACACACAGTAAGTAGCTGAGCCAGGATCTGCACACAGGCAGTCTGGTTCTAGAGCTTGCACTCTTTAACCACTCAGAAGAGAGAATGAAATCCAGTAAATTAAGGACTGAAAATATTTGAGTGCAGCTTTGGCTGGAGCACAGACCAAAATGGGAATGCTGGATGGCTGTGTGGGGCACTAGCATATTGAAACCCCCACCTTTTCATGTGAACTATAATAATGCAAAAAGCAAATTTCTCCACCCTGCTTCAGCCAGGCTCAATTTAGTCCCTGAGGGGAGAGCCACAGGTGATCTTCAGAAAAATGAAAGTTGGGGAAGCACCTACCAAATGTTCTCAGAACAGTTCTCACTTTAAAAGGCTTTTAAGGATCCACATGATAGGACCTAGACACCTGTTGTAAAGAGAGCTCCTCATGTGTTTTTGATGCACAACTATGGTTAAGGATACTAATCTAGCTCCAGGTTACTGAAAAATTTAAGAACTATTTGCTAAAGCACAAACCGATATTAAGCTGGCCTTTCTGAATTAATTCTGTAGAAGAGCAAATATAAAATTAAACTAAATTCATAAGTTCATTTAATACTGCATCTGGTTTTATTTATATTTTCCTCATAACACTGGGTTATCAATAATGCCATCCCTTACTACATCCTGGTTAATAACGAACTATACATTTCCAGGTATGAAGGTACAAAGGATCATACCCAAGCGCCTCACCTGGCTTGGTAAAGGTAAAGGTAAGATCACCCTATTTCACTGGAGCCAGCATTGAACAGAAGGTCCAGGATGGTAGTGAAGGTGTGAAACAGCTATTGAGAACTATGCATAGAATAAGGATGTTTGAAATTCTTATGTGGTTGCCTGTGTAAATTCAGTTGTGTATATAGTTCCCTCCATCATGACTCATTTACTTTTATTATTGAAGTAATTATTTGATTATGATGTCACCTCTATCAAAGTTAATTAGAAAAAGGAGGAATTGGAGGCTAGAAAGTATAGGAGAGGGGGAGGGGAAAGGATGCTGTAAAATATTTTTTTATCATTTAAAAGCAATGACCCCCTCCCTTTCCTCATCCCACCCCTTCCCCCACCCTAAACCCTCCACCAATGCTTATGTGTATACCCTGCACATCATTATCCAAACATGGAAAAGCATGTGGCCAAAATTGTTAACATCAATACCTTCAGTACTGGCTGAGGGTGGAACAGAAACGTAGAGCAGGTAAAAATAAAAACACAAGCAAAACTGATACAGTTCTATGGTATAATGTGAAGTGAAACTGATTAAAGCAAAGCATGAACAAGGTCAAAACAACATGAATGATTTCATTCATTCAGCAAAGATTTGTTCAATGAAAACACACTGAAATGATTCGATGAATACATTTTGAGCAAATTTTCACTTGGCTTGCTACAACGTTGATATAATTTTTAGAATAAAGTAAAAGATAAAAAATCAGATGAAAGAGTAGAGCTATTGACATTTGCACTGTGAGCCCGTAATGATACTTTTGTGTCTGGAAAGGAGGTATATAAACTGGGCAATCACATGCCATGGACTGTCTTCCTTTGGACTCCTAAGTTCATTTG